TTGTAAAAGCTACTTATAAATAAAAAATATTAACTTAAATTTTTTAAGTATAAATATTTATATATATATTTTTTTTAAATTAAATACTAATAAAAATATTACACTATTTAGAATCTAAAAATTACTTATAAGTAAAAAAAAGCACTTCAAATTATTTAAAAGTAATAAAAAAAACTTATAATTGTAAAAGCTATTTATAGGTAAAAAAAAATATTAATCCCTCGTTCTCTTATAATTGCAAAAGCTTCTTATAAGTAAAAAAATATTAACTTAAAATTTTTTGAGTATAAATATTTAGATATATTTATTTTTTAAATTAAATATTAATAAAAAGATTACACTATGTAGAATGTAAAAATTCATTTATAGGTAAAAAAATCACTTCGAGTTATTTAAAAGTAATAAAAAAATTTATATTAATAAAAAAATTACTATAATTAAATCTAAAAAAAAAATCATATGCATGGAGTGATTTTTCACTCCATGACTCTGTGCACGGAGTTATTTTTTTTTTTAATTATAGTAGTTTTTATTAATATTTAATTTAAAAAATTAAATATATCTAAATATTTATTTAAAAATGTTAAAGTTAATATATATTTTTTTATCTATAAGTAGTTTTTACAATTATAAGTTTTTGTTATTATTTTTAAATAACTCGAAATGATTTTTTTTACCCATAAGTAACTTTTTATATTCTAGATAGTGCAATCTTTTTATTAATATTTAATTTAAAAAATTAAATATATCTAAATATTTATACTTAAAAATTTTAAGTTAATATTTTTTCACTTATAAGTAGCTTTTACAATTATAAGTTCGTTTTACTTTTAAATAACTTGAAATGGTCTTTTTAATTATAAGTAACTTTTTATATTTTAGAAATATAGAATAACTTTTATGTAAAAAAATATTATCACTAATAAAATGAACAGTAAACCTCACATTCTCTCTTTTAAGATATGGAGGGATTTTTTTAAAATTAAATATTTATTAATATAAAATTACTATAAATAAAATTTAAAAAAATTTATCACCACTCCGTGCACAGAATGGAATCGCTCCATGCACGGAGTGTTATTACTTCGTGCAAAAGGAGAGCGCTTCTTTTGAAAAGTCAAAGGGAGAAAACATTTCTTTTCAAAGTAGAGATTCTTTTTGTCCATGAAGAGATTTTTTTTGAATATAATTTTTTCGATTTTAATTAATTAAATAATATTTATATATTATTTATTTAATTTATTTAATTTTCTTTTATTTTATTTGTTTAATTTGATTTAATAAAATAATCTTTGTACATTCCTTATGATATAAAGACATTTGTTAAATTTGAATTAAATAATATTTATTTTTTCTTTAAATCGTTTTAATTTAATTTAAAAACTTTTTAATAATTTTTTTTATTTTTATCTGCTATTTTTTAAAATAGTTTTTATATTTAATTTCGTTTATTTATTATTTAATATATGGTATTGCCTTTAATTGTGTGAAAATGGAGAAATAGTGTAGTGGAGGTGACATCACAGTGAAACAGTGTGTGAAAATGATGAAATGGTGTGTGAAAATAATGTTACAGCGTCATTAAATAAAATAATTTACTGTTGTCAAACTGATTTCAAACCAGTTTCGTGGAAAATCTATGTGACAAAAATGAACAGTAAACTTAACATTATCTCTTTTAAGATAAGGTGAGATATTTTATGAGATCCACAATTTTTATTAAGGTTGTGTTTGAGTCACATTTTTTTTTTTAAAAATGTATTTTGAAATATTTATGTGGTTAAAAAAAGAGAGAAAAATGTATTTTAGAAAAAATGGGAATCAAACAAATTGTAACTTTTCAATTACATAATTCATCAACTTCTATCAAAATTTACTAAAAGCGCGCGCGCGCGCACACACACACACACACACACACACACACACACATATATATATATATATATATTTTTTTTTAATTTTTTTTAATTTTATTTTATTTGTATCTAAACCAAATAGAAATAAAGGACAAATAAAGGTCAACAGTTTGCAAACCTAGATTAGTGATTTGGATACTTTGACAAGTCAAGTTAGTTTGGTTTATGTAAGGGTGTTAAGTGAGCAAGTAGAGTAGCGATTTGATCTTGCTCGTCATTAGTCAACTCATCAGCACCTTGCGAGCCAGCTCGTCAAATTGTAAGAAATATGCAATTTTAGTATGCTCGACTCATCCCCGCCAAAGTCAACTCTTGGACAGAGTGGTGCTACATTTTTATTGAGCGAATCGGGCAATTTCACTCGTTCAATTTAACATCCCCAATTCACAAATATTCCTTTTGTTTCGTTTACGTGTGAATAGTGATAACAAAAAAATTCGCCCCACAGCAGGGCGGGGCGGGGCTGGTGAAGAAGCAAAAAAAAAATATATTTAAAAATTAAAAATAATTTTATTTATAGATAATTCACCTGTTAAAACTCTATTTTGAATTTGTATTTTATTCCTTAATAATAGTATAGCTCAAATTTTTAAAAATATATAAAAATAATAAACTGGACAGCAAACGGGCAAAAAGCTGTCCCCATCCCCACCCTGGACCGCTCCCCGTCTAAGGTGGGGCGGGGTGCCATCCCTACGGGGCCACGGGCGAACAGAATATGCTGAAACTCCATACAAGGGCGCGGACTTTTGGGCCGCAGTCCAGTCGAGATAATTTTCATGGGCCACGTAGCAAAGCCCACATTGAGTTGCCTACAGCTCGAAAGCAGTCTCATGAGTTGGAAATGGTTCTAACTTCTAAAGCCAGTTTGTCTGTTGATAAATAAATTTTATCAAATAATTTTAAAGTTATTCTTTAATTCTAACGAAGTTATTTATCTTGAAATTAAATTTAACTCATTTTATAAAAACGAAACTTTTAGGCATAATCACATCGAACTTATTTTTATTTGGACTTTAAAGGGAGTGACTTGAATATTTCTTTTGCTTGATATATTATGAAATAGATGAGATATTTTCATTAAAATAAATTATAGATTAACAAAATAATTCGACGGAAAAAATATGTGAACAGGGCAATTTAAATGTAAGATAAATATTCACCATAAATGGGATAATGTCCACATCTATATTAATATTGACATGTCGATCGACAATTGAGAAATCCTATTTTTGAGGACCTATCATCGAAGATGCAAAGTTAATTTTAGAAAGACAATGTCCCAATCAATAAAGTTACAAGTTTGCATGTTAGAAATAACTTCAAATATAGACTTCCAAAAATCTAAAATTAGGGTCTATTGGCTCCAAAAAAGCGGTCATTTATTTCATCCTATTGGCGGGCCAGTAACGCTAGCCGACTGTGAACTTAAATAAGAGTCTCGAAATAAAATCTAAATATAAAAAATGTTAGTGTATATATATATAAGAATGAGAATGAAAAAATATAGTCATTACAGGACCCACACAAGAGAGAAAAAGTCAAATATGATGACTTGATTTAATGAATAACGGTCATATTTTTCATTTTAAAGGAAGAAGAATGGGAAACAAACAGGGTCTATATGTATACCCAAAACAAGGTAGAAATAATTCACACAGACTAAAAATGAGCTCGATATTGGTTGGATTTTTAGGAATCATGGCTGGTGCTATAAATGTTGCAATATGCCAGCGTATATTTGTGTTACGCAATTGCTTGTCAAGGCATAGATCAAATTTTGCGAATCAAAGCCAAACTACGAGCAGTATTGGACAAGAGAATGCCCCAAGTGCCACCATCCTAAGCAATTCATCATTACGTTGAATCACACTAGAGAATAGGGACGGAGCCAGACATTTGGCGTTGTGGAGTCAAAATAAAAATACAATTTCTTTTAGAACAACATATCACAATATGTTATTTTGAACGCTCACTTCAACTACATTTTGATCTGCACTGAAAATAAGGGTTTTTATTTAAAATATTTCTCCATGAATGTACAAAATCAAATCCAGTATTAACAAAATATGAGCACAACATCTAGATGAGAGAATTAGCAGAGACCAAAATCATATTTTCTAGATTCACACAAAATTTTATAGTTGTCTTCTTAATTTCTTATTTATAGTTGCAACAATTAGATCCAAACCCCATAATTTAACTAGATAAGGATAAATGCATGATTCTCCAAAAGATATCAAATAATCACAAAAAAATTTATCCAAATGCTATATTGATAATTTTCATAATATGGCAGTGCCGACTTATTTAGATGTTTATGTTTTTTCCTGTAGACTATATAATAACTAATAAGCGACGGGGAATTGTGGATTGTAGTTGAAAATATTTCTCAAATCTCAAATTCAACTATTCAAATAAATTTTAGAATAAAAATATGTAAAATCAAACAAGTAAAATATCGATTTGTTACCTAAACGGAAGAAAGATCACAAAGTTAGCACAAGAAAGAAAATTCCTAAACGTGAAGGAGTGGAGAGAATGGACTTGGAGATGGAGTTGCATAGGTGAAATACTTATTAATGGGCTTGTGCAATTGGACTCGACAATAAACAATTGAACAATGTTATATTTAATTTTTAGTGTACAAAAAAAAAAAAATAAATAACCAGAAATTTTTGTAGTGTCAACTGACCCCACATGACTCCATGTGGGTTCGTTAGTGCTAGAGAATCCAAACAAGACATATGTGCCGTGCGTTTGAACGAATTTAAGGACGACGATGGGGTTCGAGTATTGCCAGTATGTACACATAAATTTCATGTATCATGTATCGACAAGTGGTTGGATAGTCATCGTAATTGCCCTCTTTGTCGTACAGATATTATGCCTCCATCTGATCATCTCGTAATTACATTGTCGGTTCTAGTGGTGAACCGTCGGAGCTTTAATTTTGGTGAGTAATTGTTTTACCAACATGTACGTGCCTTTGGGGTGCAGATTTTGTTTGGTCGAGTTTCAATTTTTTAGTTAAAGTGAAAAATTGCCCCCCTAACTTGGCCAAACTAAAAATTACCCCTATATCATATGTCATATAATCACCTGTATATTTCCAATAGAAAAACCTTTATGCCTTATCATGATGAACACCACCACCACACACTCAAGTGCTCCGCGTCCTTCCCCAGCCGGGCAGGCCCCGAGCTCCGACATCTCCGTCCGCACGGCCCTCCTCTGCCTTGTAGCAGTGATAACCACACCATTAATTATCTACACATTCTTTTTTGCTATGAGATTCCCTCGGAATCCTTTCCGGCGATCTAGCCGCCGCTCCGACATACCGGATGGAGAAGTGAGCTGTAACGGTAAAGAATTCGAACTGGTTTGTGGCGTTAGGAAAGAGGCGCGTGCAAAAGAAACCGCCGGAAGCGAGTGCCCTGTGTGTCTATCGGTTTTTGTTGAGGGAGAAGGGATTAGGCAGTTGAATGCGTGTAAACACGTTTTTCACGTTGAGTGTATTGATAAGTGGCTCTATTCGCATTCGAATTGCCCGGTATGTCGTGTTTCTGTTTCGGTAAAGCGCTGTAAACGGGCTTCAAATATTGGCGGAGATGAAGATTTCCGGCAAGGTTTGCCGGATGCGGCTAACCTGGTTTAATTTCCGGCGAGGGAATTATATGTACCATTTTACCGTTCTTTATTTTCAAAATCAATTTTATTTTGGATGATTGTTGGCACCCCATTTTTTACTCGTTGCACGTAAGGCTGAATCAAATCGTTCGAACTGATTAACCCAACTTTGAAGGCGGATTGGATTGGATCTCGCGATATGAATTAAAACTCAATCCAATCTAATGAATAAAAAATCTAATATATAAAATCGAAAAATTTAAATAGACACAATAGTGAAAATAAGAGAAGAATTTAGAATGTACAAATATCCATTTTTTACATAGAATGACTGATATGAATACTATGTACAAAGGCAAATTATTTTGACGATAAATTAAAAATTAAGGGTGTATAATGAAATGAATAAATTCCAAAAAAATAGTAAAAAGAAAATGCTCAATAGTTTCAAAGTTATTTATATTAATTTTACAAATAATTTCTTATATAAGTTAAAAATAATGGAGATTTTCAAGTGATTTTAAACTTTAAAAATTATTCAAATTTTTATAAAATAAAAATAAAAATAAAAATTGAATCCAACTTAAATTGGGTCCAAACGGGTTGGACTTAAATCAACAATTGGATTGAATTAGATTTGAGTAGGATAAAAAATCGTTTAAATCTAATCCACCGCCAACCTTAGTTGCACAATATTAATTGAGCTCAATAACCTTAAGCTTTGCTTATTGCGGGCTTACGTCAACAACATTTTTATCACTTTTTGTTCAAATTTTTAATAATTAGCATAAATCATTGTTAATGTTGATTTCTATCAAAATATTCTCTATGCATACTTTGAGATAAAAATAATATTTTGCTTCATTTTTTATCTATTATTTTATAAATATGCTACAAAAATAAGTCTTTTTGCGCTGTCATAATATATATATATATATATATTTTATTTATTTATTTATTTATTTATTTTTGATGAAAACCATTTATAGAGACATGATATGCTATTTAATGATAGATTGAAGACAAAAATTAGACCAAAAAAATAAAGACATAAGCGCTACAATGAGCGCTCCTTGAGGACCTTAAGCACAATAAAAATATGGTGCAACTAGTGAAAATTATTGTCCAAACATAATTTCCCTGCCTCTTCTTCTCTACAAGTACTAAAATGTTTAAATACGAATAAGAATCTACATTTTAATCTCGATAATTTAGAATCTGATAATTAATTATTTTATGTCATTTATTTTGTTCATGTATACATTCATCAAAATAATAATAACTAGTAAAAATCAAGATAATTTTAATCTATCTGTCCATCTCCTAAGTTTCTCCATCGAAATGGAATGAAGTAGACATATTTTTGACAATTAATTCACACATTGTTACAATGCTAAGAAAGTTCCTAAGGATATTCGTTTTTTAAATGTTGGGATAAGTTTGGCGACTAATTGGACGAATTTAGACCCCGTTTCACAAATAATGGTTCACAGAAAACGGTAAGAGGAATAATGTAAATAATAATTAGCATTTAGTCAAATTAATATTTAATTTTGATTAGATTTATATATCATTTGTAAATTTGTATCCAAACAAACGCTAAGTACTAGTGACATGCTTTGTTTGTGTCATGGAAGTTGGCTCTATGAATCGTCAAATCGATGTTTTTCGGATTTAGTATCACGTTACCATTTTCTACCAAATAACCAATCCAACTGGCTTTGATCTACAACCAATATATTCACCTCGATTACTTTTCAATCTCATCTACAAATGACAAAATAACGGTGATGATTTGTAGCCACAAAGGCAAGGAGAAAGGCAATGAAAGAAGGAATGAAGAGAAGGCCGAATACATGAAGAAAAGCCACCGGTTTTGGCACCACAAAAGGCAGCCCCTTTTTTCAAGGGCGGAGGCAAAAAATTTTAGTTATGGGACACAATCAAATTCTGTACAAATCAAATACTTTGTTTTTAATTTTTGAATGATTTAAAATTAATTCGAAAAAATGCAGATTGACATTTAAAAAGCATTTCTTCATTAATATTTTTCTCATAATTTTCATTCATTTGATTTTGAACAGTCATTTTATTATATTTTACTCATCACAAGAAAATTCATATTTACATTTAAAAAATTGATAGTATATTTAATACAAATAATCAATTCAAGTGATCGAAAGGAAAAACAGATAATCAATATCCGATCAAATAAATACAATTCATTAAATATAAGTTAAATTGGTTATAATCAATTTAGATACATTCTATGTACACAAATAGGAAAGAAAAATCACAAAGTTAGCACAAGAAAGAAAATCTCAAAACGTGAAGGAGTGGAGAGAATGGACTTGGAGATGGAGTTGCACAGGTGAAATACCAATTAATGGGCTTATGCAATTGGACTTGACAATAAACAATTGGACAATGTTATATTTAATTTTTAGTGTACAAAAAATAAAAAAATAAAAAAATCAGAAATTTTTGTAGTGTCAACTGACCCCACATGACCCCATGTGGGTTCGTTAGCGCTAGAGAATCCAAACAAGACATATGTGCCGTGTGTTTGAACGAATTTAAGGACGACGATGAGGTTCGAGTATTGCTAGTATGTACACATAAATTTCATGTATCATGTATCGACAAGTGGTTGGATAGTCATCGTAATTGCCCTCTGTGTCGTACAGATATTATGCCTCCATCTAATCATCTCGTAATTACATTGTCGGTTCTAGTGGTGAACTGTCGGAGCTTTAATTTTGGTGAGTAATTGTTTTACCAACATGTACGTGCCTTTGGGGTGCAGATTTTGTTTGGTCGAGTTTCAAACCGATGTCAGCTATTGCCATTGATCAAAATATTATATGTAACGAAAACAAATAAAACAAACAAAAATTTACGAAGTCTGGTAGTATCAAGTGGATCCATGCATATCATACAACGACTCCACCAACTTTAGAAAATGAAAATTGCAACTATGAATAATCATAAAAGAATTCTGCTGCCCGTAACTATTATAACAGTTACACAGCCCTTTCAATTCTTGACAAGTAGTCGCACATTTTGCTTTGTACCATGTGACAAATGACACTCGGCAAGTTTCAAGCCACACGATATTCAATTATTGATGCTAGGTTTATTGAATTACTAAATCTAGTAATTATGAATTTACAATTATTTAAATTTAAATAATTTTAACTTTAAATTATAAGTAGATTATAATCAAATCCAAACAAGTACTTACTAATATCTCGGTTCGGGACAGTGGTACGCGATCTGATGAGCTATGGGCCTATATCATATGTCATATAATCACCTGTATATTTCCAATAGAAAAACCTTTATGCCTTATCATGATGAACACCACCACCACACACTCAAGTGCTCCGCGTCCTTCCCCGGCCGGGCAGGCTCCGAGCTCCGACATCTCCGTCCGCACGGCCCTCCTCTGCCTTGTAGCAGTGATAACCACACCATTAATTATCTACACATTCTTTTTTGCTATGAGATTTCCTCGGAATCCTTTCCGGCGATCTAGCCGCCGCTCCGGAATACCGGACGGAGAAGTGAGATGTAACGGTAAAGAATTCGAACTGGTTTGTGGCGTTAGGAAAGAGGCGCGTGCAAAAGAAACCGCCGGAAGCGAGTGCCCTGTGTGTTTATCGGTTTTTGTTGAGGGAGAAGGGATTAGGCAGTTGAATGCGTGTAAACACGCTTTTCATGTTGAGTGTATTGATAAGTGGCTCTATTCGCATTCGAATTGCCCGGTATGTCGTGTTTCTGTTTCGGTAAAGCGCTGTAAACGGACTTCAAATATTGGCGGAGATGAAGATTTCCGGCAAGGTTTGCCGGATGCGGCTAACCTGGTTTGATTTCCGGCGGGGGAATTATATGTACCATTTTACCTTTCTTTATTTTCAAAATCAATTTTATTTTGGATGATTGTTGGCACCCCATTTTTCACTTGTTGCACGTAAGGCTGAGCAAAAATCAATTCAAATCGTTTAAACTGATCAATCCAACTTTGAAGTCAGATTGGATTGGATCTAGCGTTATGAATTAAAACTCAATCCAATCTAATAAATAAAAAATCTAATATATAAAATTGAAAAATTTAAATAGACACAATAGTTAAAATAAGAAAAGGATTTAAAATGTACAAATATCCATTTTTTATGTAGAATGACTGACATGAATACTATGCACAAAGGCAAACTATTTTGACGATAAATTAAAAATTAAGGGTGTATAATGAAATGAATAAATCCCAAAAATATAGTAAAAAGAAAATGCTCAATAGTTTCAAACTTATTTATATTAATATTACAAATAATTTCTTATATAAGTTAAATATATATATTTTATTTATTTATTTATTTATTTATTTTTGATGAAAACCATTTATAGAGACATGATATGCTATTTAATGATAGATTGAAGACAAAAATTAGACCAAAAAAATAAAGACATAAGCGCTACAATGAGCGCTCCTTGAGGACCTTAAGCACAATAAAAATATGGTGCAACTAGTGAAAATTATTGTCCAAACATAATTTCCCTGCCTCTTCTTCTCTACAAGTACTAAAATGTTTAAATACGAATAAGAATCTACATTTTAATCTCGATAATTTAGAATCTGATAATTAATTATTTTATGTCATTTATTTTGTTCATGTATACATTCATCAAAATAATAATAACTAGTAAAAATCAAGATAATTTTAATCTATCTGTCCATCTCCTAAGTTTCTCCATCGAAATGGAATGAAGTAGACATATTTTTGACAATTAATTCACACATTGTTACAATGCTAAGAAAGTTCCTAAGGATATTCGTTTTTTAAATGTTGGGATAAGTTTGGCGACTAATTGGACGAATTTAGACCCCGTTTCACAAATAATGGTTCACAGAAAACGGTAAGAGGAATAATGTAAATAATAATTAGCATTTAGTCAAATTAATATTTAATTTTGATTAGATTTATATATCATTTGTAAATTTGTATCCAAACAAACGCTAAGTACTAGTGACATGCTTTGTTTGTGTCATGGAAGTTGGCTCTATGAATCGTCAAATCGATGTTTTTCGGATTTAGTATCACGTTACCATTTTCTACCAAATAACCAATCCAACTGGCTTTGATCTACAACCAATATATTCACCTCGATTACTTTTCAATCTCATCTACAAATGACAAAATAACGGTGATGATTTGTAGCCACAAAGGCAAGGAGAAAGGCAATGAAAGAAGGAATGAAGAGAAGGCCGAATACATGAAGAAAAGCCACCGGTTTTGGCACCACAAAAGGCAGCCCCTTTTTTCAAGGGCGGAGGCAAAAAATTTTAGTTATGGGACACAATCAAATTCTGTACAAATCAAATACTTTGTTTTTAATTTTTGAATGATTTAAAATTAATTCGAAAAAATGCAGATTGACATTTAAAAAGCATTTCTTCATTAATATTTTTCTCATAATTTTCATTCATTTGATTTTGAACAGTCATTTTATTATATTTTACTCATCACAAGAAAATTCATATTTACATTTAAAAAATTGATAGTATATTTAATACAAATAATCAATTCAAGTGATCGAAAGGAAAAACAGATAATCAATATCCGATCAAATAAATACAATTCATTAAATATAAGTTAAATTGGTTATAATCAATTTAGATACATTCTATGTACACAAATAGGATAGGAGAAAATGCAAATTTATTTTCTAATTAATTGAAAATTTGATTGAAAAGTGAAAATTCTTAGTAAATGTGATTATTTGTAGAAAAATTATAAATAAATTTTAAGAAATTAGATTGGTTAAATTTTTGATAAAATGTGTGAGGGAGAGAGTGCGACAGAGTAAGAGAAAAATAAAAAAATAAATCAAATCTATTGTAATTTTGCTCTTGTTTGGTGGGGGTTAAAATCAAAATTTTAGTAAATTTTGATAAAAGTTAAAAAATTAAAAATTCTATGAAATATGTTATTAAAATTAATTATTAATTTTGATTTATATTAAAATTTAGATTTCAATCGATACTAAACGAGACTTATAAAAAAAATCTCAAAATTGGGGGGTCACTTAACCTTCAGGACCCCCATTGGGTCCACCCCTGCCTTTTCTCTCAATGGGTAGCCACGTTTCCCCTTCAGTATTCTCACAAATCCCTCTTACAAAATGGCTAGGTTGCAACCATATAAGTGGGGTTAGGCTAGGCTTTTAATTTGACTAATAACAAGACTAAATATGCCAAGATTCAAAGTCGTTCAAGAAGTAATATAAATAGGTTCTGTAGAGTATTTGGATATGATACTTATATTTCACTCATTGACGGAAACCTATGAAAAATGTATTCCCACGTTAACATCATAACTCGGAAATTATTAGGTGTCAAAATCCAACAATTCAATTATGCATAATTAGATTCGAGTGTTTAGATCAAGATCCAAGTTCAAATAAACAATATATTCTATTGGATAGTTAGAATCAAGATTCTAGAAGTCGTAAAACGTGAAGGTCAAATCTCCAACCTTACAAGCCTAGACGTTATAATGTTTTTTTCCTATTTTTAATATTATTTAAATATTATCACTCAATAAATAAATAAAATAACACATATTTTGAAAATTTATATCGACTTCATACATAATTTTCAAATTTTCAGCAAAAAAAATACAAAATCATAAATACCCCAAATAAATAATGCTTCATTTGTGAGCAGAGAAAGCCATGTTCTTAAGCCAAGTATGAACTATGGTTGGTTTTTTTGTTCGACTTATTTTATTGAGCTAGACTTCAAAATATATATATATCACTTGCCAAAAAAATTATCAACTATCCGACCTAGACACAAGGCGAGGCATGACATTTTCTCCAAGTCCCAAGTCTAGACGTGCCTAGGGGAGCCTAGACGGGCCTTTTATTAAAAACTGATTAGGATCCAATTACAATGAACACTTTACTTTTTTTCTAATAATTAAAAAGGAGAACTAAATTACAATTTTAAAAATCTTCAAATATAAGAATGCTTAAATTTTTTTTTGAAAAATTGTAAATTATCTTTTATTCTTCTTCTTCCATAACATATTATTCTTTCAGTTTACTAGGTGGGCTCTCTTCCATTCCCCTATCTTTGTGTAACTCATGTTGATTTCGAGCGTGTTTGGGAACTATTTATATCATCTTATAAGGCAAAGAAGTGTGCGGTCGATCTTATAAGATCGCTAAGCTTTTAATAAAATATGAGGTTTGATTTTTATCGAGTTGAAATTAAATTTGATTCATTTGGGATAAAAATTATAACAAGATACTTGAAACCTTTTACAAGAAAATAAGGCCTTTTAAACCGAAACTTAAAATAGTAGGCTACGTGTTCACTCTGCACATTATAGGAAGGTCATTCCGCAAAGTTCCTCATTTTTTTAATGAAATAAATTATTTCATTTTAGTTTCCATGATAATATGGTTTTACGTTCAAGTTTCTATATTACTAATTTATTTAATTATTTTTAAATTCATTAATATTAATAAGTAAAAGTACAATCTTGTAATGTCCTACTTAGTCCCTGTTTGATTGTCATTATCGAGAAAAAATGATGTGTGGTTAAAAGGTAGAAATTTTTTTGGATTTATGTACAAAATATTTTATCATATAAATATGTAGCTAAAAATTAATACGAAAATTAAAGAGTTTTGTTTTAAAATGAGAGAAACACGGGCTTAACATCTAGATTTATCTTTAGTGATATGATTGAAGTTTTTCAGGTTATTGACAGGAGTTCGGGTCTTATTTGAGGAAGTGGTGAAATAAAAAAATGATATTTTATATGCAATGAGCACAATTTTTTTTTAAAAATAAAAATGAAATAAATAATGGAATATAATAAACCTAATTCCAATTAATCGAGACATGATAATGGAGAAAGCAAGTGAGTCGAACACTTTGCTGCCACTGTTAGGCTCGAAACCACGTCCTACTTTTCTAAGAATAGTTATAACATCAGAAAGAGTGCATTTAGAGACAGAGTATTCATCGAGTTCAAACCTCGTGATGCCAATTTTGGAACTTGTTTTGAAAATTTCGATAACATTACAGAATAAAGCATGTGCAAAAGTTGTTGTTTTCTGTAATTTGAGTCCTATTTGAGTGATTGTCATCAAAGTGGAGATTGTTTGGGTTGTTATAAAAATTTTGGAATTACAACTCAAACAACGGGCTATGATGAAAACTGGCAAGGCCCATTCTTGATACTACACTTCCATTGCCCAATAACTCAAATGAAGAGGCCCAAAACCCGAGCTCAACATTTGGCCACGTGTGATACTCCGGACCATTGGATCTTCTAATTAATATCAACGGTGATGAGCCTCTAATATAAATTGGCTTCCAATGGTTGCCCTAGGAGACTTGACTCTTTTTCTTTCGTCTCTTAAATTCTCTAGAATCTGAGTTTTTTTGTCTTCCTTTCTTCGTTCGTCTCCTTTGTGTTCTTTGTGTTTCCCTTGAAACTTCTATGATTTGGGGTTTACATTCTATGTGAATAAGTGAATCTAAGTGATTCTTGTGTGAGGGGGTTTTTTCCTTTGGTCTGTCAAAGTAGCCTCGTTCAGTTTTCTGTGTGGGTTTGGGTATTTTGGTGCTTCTTATTTGTACAGAAGGGTATAATGATTTTTGAGTCCAAAGTTGATGAAATCTTGGTGTCAAATGTTCGATCTGTTTTGTAACATTTTACAGTGAATAATAATTTTTGGATACTTGGTGTATTTTTTTAATTCTTGGTATAATAGAACTTTCAATGTAACGTCAAAAGAAAGAGAAATTTTATCCTTATCTTTATGTTGTGTCCTCCACTATGTATAAAACATATACTCGATGATCTCTATAATGTTGTTTTCCTTCATACATGGCGCTCTTCATAAGCGAATGAGCACGAAATTTTTTTGAAACCAAAAAACTGCTAATCATGTAATAAGTCACCCCTAACATCAGACAACATTTCTTCCGTTCTGATGTAGTAGCAAAAGAAGCAAGAACTTGGACCTCTTTGTTACCATTGCTAGCCCCCAAATGCGGCGAAAAATGTCTTAGTTTTCTATGAATAACTACAATATCAAAAAGTAATAATGCATTTATAAATAGAGTCCATCGATTTTTAGTCTTAGAGCAACTTCAAGAGTCTCTTTAAAAGTGGAATGCTCTCTATTTTAAAGAATCAATATTTACATTTTACTTCAAAAGATTCTTCAATTTAACATTTCACGTCTCTATAATTTAATGTTTCAAAGATTCCAACGTCCAATGCACATTTTATTGACTTAATTAAATAATATATGCAAATATCAATATCTCTTAATTGAATCATTGAGACGGCTATTTCTACAATACATGTATCTGTTTCAAATATGATGTATATATATGTTGCATATATATCTTTTCTTTTTCTACAACATGGATATTCAAACCAGCATGGATGAAAATCAATATAATGATACAAATGAAAACCCACAGTTTTCAACCTAATATCCCAATTTTGATGATCAATTTCATGTGTCAAATATTCCATTGGAACCAAAATCTAAAAGATCAAGAGGTGGAAACTTTACTGTGGAAGAGGATCTTCTCATTGTGTCAGTGTGGCTTAATGTTAGTTTAGATGCACCACATGGAAATGAACAGAAACAAAAGGCCTTTTGGACTCGATTGTATTATCACAAGTACAAGAAATTTGAATCTACAAGAACACAAGTTTCTTTGATGAACCATTGTGGATCTTGGAGATGATAATATTCCCAATTCTAACTCTGTGGAGTTGGAAAGACCACCAGGAAGAAAGGCCGAAAAAGATCGAAAGAAGATAAAGGATAAAGATACTAGAAATGACTCATCAAGTGCATATGTGACTTTGTTACAAGCAATGAGCGAAGAAAAGAAGCAATTTACTGAGAAGAAAATATAAATGTTTGAAAGACAATATGCTCAAGAACAAGAGAGATTTGCCTATGAGCAAGAAAAGCTTTGATTGGAGTGCCTCAAATGCTTGTAGATTTTTATATGCTCAAAAAGAAATTATTACAAAAAGAACAGTAGGTCGTTGAATTTAGCTTGGTTAAGGGGGTAACTAAAATATGCTGAACAGGTCCATGAGTATTTGCTTACATGTTGTGGGTTAAATGGTTCTTTTTTCTCATGTAAAAGTCCGGCATATGGTAGAAATTGCTATCTTCATCATAATGTAAAATTCAACATATTATAGCATGTGAATTTAGCTTAATCAAGGTAGCAACTAATTTATCTTTATATAGCTTGAATTCCTTTTTCTTCTTGCCTTATGTTTCTGTGATTAATTATCGCAATATCAAAAGTCAAAACTGGAAACTTAGTAGGAATGGGATGTAATTCGAGTCAATTTCATTTGCTCCTCCTGCCCCTCTTAGGAATAACCATTTCTTAGAGCATTTGCATAAAAGAAAAGAGATTTAAAGAAATAAATCATTTGAGAAACTCTTAAGATTGGGATAAAACATAAGAACATATAATTCTAGAAGTTAATTCATAAGATCAAGACATGGTTTGAGCTCAATAAGGTCTCTTTGGAGCTGAGAGTGAATATTTCTATCTATAATATGATGATGATCTTCTATAAATTTCATAAAGCCTGTTGTTTGCTCACGTGAAACCGATATGCTTGGAATTTCATAAACCGCATCATAATCAAAGTCCATATTAGTAGTATGTTGTTCATCTTCAACAATCATTTTATGTAATATGATGCAAGCTTTTCATGATATCTTTCAGAGTTTCATGATGCCAAAAACGTGCTAGTCCCCTAACAATTGCAAATCGTGATGGCAACACTCTAAATGCTCGTTCAATGTCTTTTCTTGCAGATTCTTGAGTTGTAGCAAATTGTGTATGTTTGTTATCCACTGGATATGGAATCAATTTCACAAATGTTACCATGGAGGATATATACCATCAGCAAGGTAATATCCCATTGTATAGTTATGAACATTGATTCAGTAGTTGGCTGGGAGAGCATGACGTTTAACAAGGTCTTTGATTAAAAATGAGATGTCTAAAACATTTATATCATTATGTGATCCTGGCAAGCCAATAAATGCATGCCATATCCAAAGATCATGGAAAGTTATAACTTCAAGAATTATAGTTGGTTCACGAACATGCCCAATGCACATTCCTTTCCACGCCTCTGGACAATTTTTCCATTTCTAGTGCATACAATCAATGCTCCCCAACATGTCAGGAAACTCGTGTTTTTCGCCTTCTTTTAGCAATCTGGCAACATCTTATTTGTTTGGTGTTCTCATGTATTTATCTGAAAAGATTGAAACTACACTCTTAACAAATCTTTTTAAACTCTCAATTGCAGTGCTTTCACCAATTCTTATGTATTCATCAATAAAATCTGCTGCAACTCCGTATGAAAGCATCCTCAAAGAAGCAGTAATTTTTTGTAGAGAAGACAAAGAAAGAGTTCTAGTTGCATTCCTTCTTTGGACAAAGTACGGGTCATGGGTTTCTATGGCAGATTGAATACGAATAAAAAAGATTGGCTCATTCGAAACCTTCATCGAAATAAATTTGGAGAATACACGGGATCCTCTCCAAAATAGTCATTAAAAACCTTGTATTGAGCCTTGACGTAGTATCCATCTCCTTTTGTTGAGCAACTCTCCATCTACGAATGCTATTGCTGTCTCCAAATCATCGTTGGAGTCAGAGTCATCAAGAATCAATTTGATTAATCTACTTGAAGACATATTTAAAAAGAACACAAATGCATTTCTTTTATTGTATAAGAAAGATAATTTTTTTTTTTTCCAAAACTAATAGACCTTGAATTTGTTTGGAATGGCGTGAAAATGAAGACCATCAATTGAGTTAAAGAAGAGAATGGAGGGAAATGGTATAATTATTGGAGGGAAGATGGTAAAATTAAAAGAATGAAAAAAGAAAATGATAAATACATATTGGGAATGGTAAAATTAAATGTTAAAAATAAAGAGGATATTAGAGCATTTTAAAATTTTTGCTCTTTAAATTCGTAGATACTATTTAAATTGTAGAATATGTTCTTTAAAAATAGATAGCCTTTTAAAGATGCTCTTAAAATAATTGAAGAGCGCCCTCAATTCGTTGATTCTGCATTCACATTTATATTACGGAAAAGAGCACCAAAGTCTTGATGGTACTAAGGTTCTTTTTTTTTTTTTCCTCCATTTTTGGAAGAATGAGAATGAAAAATTTAGTCGTTACGGATTCCACACAAGAGATAAAAATTTAAATTTGATGGTTTGATATGATGGATAACGATCATATTTTTCATTTTAATGAAGAAAGAATGAAAAACAAACGGAGAGCTAAATATCTGTGCTACTAATAGCACAAACCATTCATGTAAATTTTTGTGTTTTATTTATACTTTGCCATTATTAAATTGAATAGAACTATATTGAGCGGGTGTTTGATACCCATTTTTATAGGAAAATAAATTTTAGAATATTAGATTGATGGAGAATGTGTGGATAAAAAATGAGGAAATTTTTTTTTATTTACATGTAATATTATTTTAATGAAGAATGTGTAGTTAAAAAGAAGAGAAAGAAATATATTATGATAAAAATGGGAATCAAACGGGCATGAATATTCAGAATATACACACAAGATGAATATTTCTACTTTACATTAACATTTTTTAATTCACTACATTTGTTGTAAATAATCGAAATTCAAATACGTTCTATTCCGATCAATTCATTTTCCCTCGACAAATCCCAATCCAACCCTCACCTTTTTCGTCTAATCTAAGCTAAACCAAAATCTTGAACCCCAAATCTAGCAACCACTGACGCCGCATAAATCTTCCTAACCACTCATTTGTAGTAAATAATCAGTCTCTGATCCAAAAATTGCTTCCAGAAAGAAAAAATTAAAGAAAACCCAACAATGAAACGATCTCAAAATCGATTTTTTCACAATAGAAAATGCTCAACGTCTGTAATCTTGTTTTCCATTTCATCTCTTTTACTGATTTTCTTTTTAATTTTATGGCGTTTCAAACCCAATAATTCTTCATTTCCAAATTCGAAGTCAGTGAGCTTTGATCCTATTAATTCCTCGGATGATGCAGATCCTCTATTTGTACCGGAATTACCGCGATTTGCGTACTTCATTTCGGGTACAAGAGGCGATGGTGGGAGGCTGAGGCGGCTGCTTCAGGCGTTATACCATCCCCGCAATTATTATTTAATTCACCTCGATTTGGATGCCTCAGACAGCGAAAGGCTTGATCTTGCAAAGTATGTGAAGTTTGAGGCAGTAATGAGGGAGATTGGGAATGTAATGGTGATAGGGAAGGCTAACTTGGTGACTGAAAAAGGTCCCACGATGATTGCGTCAACGCTCCATGCTGTTGCGATTCTGTTGAAGCAGGCCAAGCGCTGGGACTGGTTTATTAATCTTGGCGCTTCTGATTATCCGCTAATGCCGCAGGATGGTTAGTTTATATTTCTTTTTAGTGGATTAATTGTTGATAAGTTATTACATCGTGGCTGTGTAATGTGAATAAAAAACATCTGGGAATTTTGATGGGTTGGTGGATTTTTCTACTTGATGCTGTGTAATATTTGAGAATTTTGAGCTTTTCAGCATTGAACTTCAGTGAAACTGCTTGAGTTTTGATTATTATGATGCTCATTCTAAGCAAGTAATGCATGATGGGCTTGAGTCAGTAAAGGAATGCAGGGGAATATTATTGAACTCTGCATTTTGTCCCTTGGATTATGGTGGGGTCATTTATTTTATAGCTAGCTGATGGGAGTCTAATAGAATCCAGTTTGACTAGGAATTTAATTTTTTGATGAGGCTGAGCATGAAGCTTGTCTTCTTATCTTATGCGATAACATTTTAGTTTATCCTGCTGAGTTATAATCCTGCTCTTAATTGGGCTCTGGGAACTCGTTGGATAATGGATTTTGGCAAGGATGTTGCCTGGTGAGTCATGGTTTTGGATTTCAGGTCAGCTCACGGTCTTAGATAATGAGGGGGGACACAAATAGAAGATCAAACTCTTGTCAGTATACATTATGAAATGAAGTTGGTCCTAGGTATGCGGTACAGTAAGAAAAGACGAAAGCTGGTGAGTGAGCTGGACAAAACCAGAAGGTTGGATTATACTTTTCGTCAGCTGGTATGGTAGAATCAAGTTAGTCCTTCGTAAGTATATGGTATAGTACATAATTAGTTGATGATGAGACACAAGGTTAGATCAACTGAGGTGATTAAGCTAGACAAAATGAGAAGATTATGTCAAATCTTGTTTTGATATTATAGAATCAAGGTATTCTAGGTAAATCATTTAGCAGGAAAGGATGATCAAGTGGGAATGCTTAATGGCTCAATAGAGGCAAGGTAGAGTTGAATATACTTTGATTGGTATCGTATATATAGTTAATATATGAATTTATTACATAAGTTATTGATATCATGAGAAAAACACTGTTATTACAGTTTTAGGCATAAAAGCTTTACATGACTGAATTATTTTGCATGTAGATGCGGAACATGTGTTATGGAAGCATTGATTTGATCTAAGAAGTCAATTAAATTGAGCGGGGGCTGAATCGGTTACAAGATCACAAAGGAATTTCAATTTTTGTATTCTTCCTAACTATGCCCTTGCTTGGTCCGCATTATTTCCAAAATATATTTTTTCTCTCTCTTATTTTCAACCACACATTCTTCAATGAAATAAATTACATGTAAATCCAATTTTTTTCCTTATTTTTTAACCACACATTCTTCATCAAATCACTATTCCAAAATGCATTTTTGGCAAAAAAAAATGGAGCCCACTATTTAGGAATTCAGCTTGTATCTGTTATATGTGGTTACATAGCGTCTTTTCAATTTAACAACCATCAAATGGTGTTGAACTCCTTCCAGCTTACATCAATTAGGTGATTCTAAAGGCATAATTTTTCAGATTTCAAATTTTTTTGGGATAAATGATGTGTCTTACAATGTGTTCTAAGTGTATAAAAAAAGAACTTTGCTTTGTTTTACTTCTGTTGCTAATATCCATTCACACATTAATAAACTACTAATGAGCGTTTAAAGGAATTATTCATTTCTTTTATGACACGAACTTCTATCGGCTGTCTTTGTACTTTTGCTTCTATTGCTTTATAGTTTATATTCATCCTTTTCGTTGAGATATTCTTATTTGTTGTTTATTTTATCTTGTGTCAAGGTAGCCATCATGCTCATGTAGCAGTACCTTGCTAAATTAGTTGATTTATCCACGTCTAAACCATCTATAATTTTATTATTCTTCCAGATATCCTGCATATCTTCTCATACTTGCCTCGAGACCTGAATTTCATTGAGCATACAAGTGACATTGGTTGGAAAGAGTGAGCATTCAACTAATCCTCAACTTGTCTCCTTGGAATATTGCATATACTGAAATGATTTCTTCATTGGTTGGCATTGTTGTTACTTGTTCTCAAGTTCTTGTAATATGTTTTTTTCAGACAACAAAGAGCTAGGCCTATTATTATAGATCCTGGCTTATATCACTATTTAATACAAATAATCAATTCAAGTGATCGAAAGGAAAAACAGATAATCAATATCCGATCAAATAAATACAATTCATTAAATATAAGTTAAATTGGTTATAATCAATTTAGATACATTCTATGTACACAAATAGGATAGGAGAAAATGCAAATTTATTTTCTAATTAATTGAAAATTTGATTGAAAAGTGAAAATTCTTAGTAAATGTGATTATTTGTAGAAAAATTATAAATAAATTTTAAGAAATTAGATTGGTTAAATTTTTGATAAAATGTGTGAGGGAGAGAGTGCGACAGAGTAAGAGAAAAATAAAAAAATAAATCAAATCTATTGTAATTTTGCTCTTGTTTGGTGGGGGTTAAAATCAAAATTTTAGTAAATTTTGATAAAAGTTAAAAAATTAAAAATTCTATGAAATATGTTATTAAAATTAATTATTAATTTTGATTTATATTAAAATTTAGATTTCAATCGATACTAAACGAGACTTATAAAAAAAATCTCAAAATTGGGGGGTCACTTAACCTTCAGGACCCCCATTGGGTCCACCCCTGCCTTTTCTCTCAATGGGTAGCCACGTTTCCCCTTCAGTATTCTCACAAATCCCTCTTACAAAATGGCTAGGTTGCAACCATATAAGTGGGGTTAGGCTAGGCTTTTAATTTGACTAATAACAAGACTAAATATGCCAAGATTCAAAGTCGTTCAAGAAGTAATATAAATAGGTCCGGTAGAGTATTTGGATATGATACTTATATTTCACTCATTGACGGATACCTATGAAAAATGTATTCCCACGTTAACATCATAACTTGGAAATTATTAGGTGTCAAAATCCAACAATTCAATTATGCATAATTAGATTCGAGTGTTTAGATCAAGATCCAAGTTCAAATAAACAATATATTCTATTGGATAGTTAGAATCAAGATTCTAGAAGTCGTAAAACGTGAAGGTCAAATCTCCAACCTTACGAGCCTAGACGTTATAATGTTTTTTTCCTATTTTTAATATTATTTAAATATTGTCACTCAATAAATAAATAAAATAACACATATTTTGAAAATTTATATCGACTTCATACATAATTTTCAAATTTTCAGCAAAGAAAATACAAAATCATAAATACCCCAAATAAATAATGCTTCGTTTGTGAGCAGAGAAAGCCATGTTCTTAAGCCAAGTATGAACTATGGTTGGTTTTTTTGTTCGACTTATTTTATTGAGCTAGACTTCAAAATATATATATATCACTTGCCAAAAAAATTATCAACTATCCGACCTAGACACAAGGCGAGGCATGACATTTTCTCCAAGTCCCAAGTCTAGACGTGCCTAGGGGAGCCTAGACGGGCCTTTTATTAAAAACTGATTAGGATCCAATTACAATGAACACTTTACTTTTTTTCTAATAATTAAAAAGGAGAACTAAATTACAATTTTAAAAATCTTCAAATATAAGAATGCTTAAATTTTTTTTTGAAAAATTGTAAATTATCTTTTATTCTTCTTCTTCCATAACATATTATTCTTTCAGTTTACTAGGTGGGCTCTCTTCCATTCCCCTATCTTTGTGTAACTCATGTTGATTTCGAGCGTGTTTGGGAACTATTTATATCATCTTATAAGGCAAAGAAGTGTGCGGTCGATCTTATAAGATCGCTAAGCTTTTAATAAAATATGAGGTTTGATTTTTATCGAGTTGAAATTAAATTTGATTCATTTGGGATAAAAATTATAACAAGATACTTGAAACCTTTTACAAGAAAATAAGGCCTTTTAAACCGAAACTTAAAATAGTAGGCTACGTGTTCACTCTGCACATTATAGGAAGGTCATTCCGCAAAGTTCCTCATTTTTTTAATGAAATAAATTATTTCATTTTAGTTTCCATGATAATATGGTTTTACGTTCAAGTTTCTATATTACTAATTTATTTAATTATTTTTAAATTCATTAATATTAATAAGTAAAAGTACAATCTTGTAATGTCCTACTTAGTCCCTGTTTGATTGTCATTATCGAGAAAAAATGATGTGTGGTTAAAAGGTAGAAATTTTTTTGGATTTATGTACAAAATATTTTATCATATAAATATGTAGCTAAAAATTAATACGAAAATTAAAGAGTTTTGTTTTAAAATGAGTAGTTCATTGCATAGTTTCAAATATCATAAATTAAAAACAAGGTTTTAAATTAATTACATTAATTACTTATTATTCAAATATATAAGAAAATTTGTGGTTGAAAAAAAAGTGAGAAAAAATACTCATTATATATATACATATAAGGATAGGTGCATTATGTGCAAGTAGCCCCCATGCAAGGTAAAGATAGAGATGGGAGAGTCAGGGAGACAGTGGGTGGCGTGGGGTGGGGTAGGGTAGGGAAACGAACGGGCCGGCCCTGATAAAAGTTTCAATCGGTCGGGTTTCCACTAAAACACCCTCAAGCCCCTACTCACACTTTTCCTTTGTAAAAAATAAATTTCAAGATTTTTTTTAATAATTTTCTTGAAAAGTAACATTAGAATTAAGCCATAGTTTGCTTTAATGCTTGTAATTAAGCTGCGAATCATTCTCAATCACACTACTATTTCCTTGCAATCAGAGAGGTGCCACCACAGAAGTTAAAACAAAAAGCTTAAAGGCTAAGAAATTCATAAAATTTTGCCCTTTTAAAAAAACCCAAAAAACAATAAAACAAAAATAGACAGACTGCAAACAAATTAGTACTTGTTGTTGCTGTTGTGTTTGTGTGTGTATATATATGCACATTCATAAAGCTCCCTCCTTTATTCCTTTATTATCTTCTCTCTCTAGAGAGTTGATGTGATTCTCCACTATACACTCCCAAAAACCAAAAAACCTTTACAAAAGAGAGAACGATCAATTAAGAACAATGGTTTTTCCTTCAATTCCAGCATATCTTGATCCATCCAACTGGCAGCAGGTAATTAAGGGTTTTCTTTGATATATCATATGTTTCAATGGCTTCTTTCAAAAAAAGCAATTTGGAAAAGATAAATAATATTCCCATGACTTTTTTGTTTATCTCTTGTTCTTTATTTTTATTTTCTTGATCCCTTTGTTACATCTTTAATTTTGTTGAATATACCACATGTTTCATTTCTACTCTCTAACTTTAATTTGCAGCAACAAAATCATCAAATTGGAGTTAGCAGCACAAACCCTTCGCTTCCACCAGCTTCTTCACAGCCTGTGCCACCACCCCCGCAGCCTCATGCCGGTGGTGGCACGGGATCAGTCCGGCCGGGCTCCATGTCTGAGAGAGCCCGGTTAGCTAATATACCGATGCCTGAGGCCGCCATGAAATGTCCTCGATGCGAATCAACGAACACTAAGTTCTGCTATTTCAACAACTATAGTCTCTCTCAGCCAAGACACTTTTGTAAGACCTGCAGACGGTACTGGACTAGAGGCGGCTCTCTGAGAAACGTTCCAGTGGGAGGTGGCTGCAGGAGAAATAAAAGAAGTAAATCTAGTAGTTCTAAGTCTCCTGCGAGTAGTGATAGGCAAACCACCTCCAGCTCCACCAGTACTGTTTCCTCTAACAGTGGAGCAGTGGCTAATATATTCGGCCTCAATCCCCAACTTCCACCTCTACGCTTTATGCCTCCTTTGAGTCAACTTCCTGAAAACTATAATAGCGGTGATATTAGCCTAAATTACAGTGGAATTTCAGCTCCCATGGTAGGGACAAGTGAGGTGAACTTTCACGTAGGAAACAGTCTACTTGGTGGCGCTGGCGGCAGTATTGGTGGAGGGATGGCTTCCCTTTTATCAAGTGGCGGTGGAGTTGAGCAGTGGAGGTTGCAGCAACTACAGCAATTCCCTTTCTTCAGTGGTTTGGATCCATCGCCGTCGGGACTTTACCAATTTCAAGGTGGTGTTGAGCAATCAGGCTTTGTCGGTGAAACTAGTCAGGCGAGGCCTAAATATTCAAGTTCAATTCTAACTCAGATGGCATCAGTAAAAATGGAAGACAACCCAGAGGTGAATTTGTCAAGGCCATTACTGGGGATGCCAGGAAATGATCAGTGGAGTGGTGCTGCGAATTGGATAGATCTATCTAGTTTTAGCTCTTCTTCGACAAGCAATCTTTTATAGAAACTACACCTAGCTTGAGTTTTTGATCTGCAGCTCCCCTAAAGAATTACATCAAGTTTGAAAGGTTCCAGGATGATACTGCAGGGTCAAGCGATCGATCAACTGAAAAACCTAGAATTGGTAGGTGGTTTTTATTTATTTGTTATTGTTATAGGTTTTTCTGTACTTGTTTGTCAACGCAGTGTATTGAGTTGTTGTAGCTTTATTTTAGACATTGAGACCTAATATTTCCCAAGAATGATTTTAATGTTCATTGTATCTCTGCTAACAGTTGACATGGGTTTTTGTTTGGGAGAGACGACATGGATTAGGTTTTATTCTCGTCAAATTATCCATCCATTTCTGTATGTAAAACGAAGCTCTGAATGCATAAGTTCACCTTAAAACTTGCTGGAAAATGAAAAGAACTAAAATGAGGAAATATTATTACTTGTGTGTGACCTTTTCTTATATGCTCATGTACCAACTCAAGTAATTAGAATCAACTTCGTAACTCCACTAAGCATATAGTTACTGATCCATGCATATATATTTTCACTTTAAGTTTGTTTTGATCATGAATTCATGATTATTAATTTCTGTTGATTAAAGAATCATTTTTTGCTGTTTGAATTTCAATTTAAGGGAATAGCTTTTGTTAATTTCTAAGAAGTAAAGACCAAGGGTGGACCCAGCCTTTTCGGATTGTGGGGTCAAATTTTAATGTGTAATTTTTTAAAACAATATAATATTAATGAAAATAAGTTAATACGCATTTTGACACTTTGAAAACGTCTTATAATTATATCATTATCAATATTGTTAAATGAATTTTGTTACATGTATACTTTTGTTTACCATGTCATATATGGATGTTGAGCTGCCGGCTAATAAATCAAATTAAATATAGGAAGTAAATAAATTGAAATAAAATTCACATACAATTTAGGAAGTAAATGAAATTTAAGTTTAATGAAAAAATAATTTGAAAGTAATTCAAATTAAATTTAATCTGTAACAATTTTAGAATTTTTGACATCATTTTTCATATAAAATTTCCTAATAAAATGATGTAAATTAAATTGAAAATTTATTGTGCAAAAAAAAAAAAAACATTAATGAACTAATTGATTTTTTTAAAAGAAAAAATGAGTTAAATGCTTTTTTTTAGTATTTACGTTTGACGCATGTTTAACTTTTTTCAATATCTATTTGGGCCATTCAATATGACACGATGTAGTTCTCGAAACGAGCTTCTAGATGGTGCAGACAATTTGTGGACTCGGATAATATATGATCATCGATAAATTTTAAAAGTTAGCATATTATTGAAATTTACGAAACACTAATTTGGAACGGCCAACTTTGATACATCGTTACTTTTGCTATGATGGATGATTTCGCACATCATTAAGAAGAGAAAACTCTGTTATGAGTGCTTTGAAATGATATTAAGAATACAATGTTTCGACTTCATTTGGCACATATTAAAGTAGATCGTAAAACGATTAAAATAACTATTTTCTAGGGGGGAAAAAACCAAAATTTTGTGGGGTCATTTGACCCCACACGACCCCATATGGGTCCGCCCTTGATCATCAATGGTCGGTCTACTGCCTTCTATTTATGCACATTTGAAAGAAAAATGTTATAAAGACCAAAGAATTTCTCATAAATTGAAATTTTTAATCATTTTCCTTGCACATGAAGAACAAGATTTTTCGGGATTTCCTTTTTTTGTTCGGATGTTAATATTTGAAAACTTAATTTTCATCCACAAAACAAAGTAATATTTATCTTGAACCAGCATCAATCATATTTTCATTTCATTATACTCTAACGATATGGGCAATTACAAGATTAAATTGGATTTTACAAATGTGAAATGATTCATTTTTCATTTTTGGGGAATCATTTGCACGCTGGCCTACTATTCTTTTGATGTATTTAGTTCCCAATTTGTGAATAATCCAAAATATTCACTTGTCCTACATTCCCAACTACTCACTTACTTCCAGAAAGATCTACCTAGAAGGAAGGAAGGAAGTTTGTTATATTCAGATTGTCATGTTTATATTCTCTTAAACGAATAGATAGATCATCACAGGCAACAGAATGGAATGATTCCTTAATAATTAATACTAATTGTCAAGAGAATTAAAATGTCTGTCATAATTTGACTGATACTGTTTTATAGAGACGACAAGAGTCTCAAAAGACGCCAAAATAGCCACTAAAATTTCATAAAAAAAAAAAAAAAAAACCCAGAAACCAATGTGCTTGGAATTCTCCCAAGAATCACGTAAAGACTGCATAAAATCAGAGTCAAAGATGAACACAACAAGTTGAAGAATGACTTTGTACGTATTTCAAAGCCCAACATTGAACATTGTGTTGTGATATTTGGTCATGCTTTCCGACATAAAATCTAAGTATTGTTTGTTACCCATTTTTATAAGAATGAGAATGAAAAATATAATCGTTAGGAGAATCATAAAAGAAATAGAAAATCAAATATGGTGACTTGATGTGATGGATAACGGTCATATTTTTTATTTTTGTGACAAAAGAATGAAAATCAAACGGGTGTATTTGGTTCAATATTTTAATAAAAACTAGTTTTGGTATTGCTATCTAGTATCTGATGTACGTACGTACTAGAAACCGCGCAAAATATTCTTCTCATATTATATTATAGTATATATGTGTATAATAGACGAGACTTTCTTGGAGTTTGGGTATGCCATGTTCTTTCATTTTCTTCTATGATTTGAACATACATTGGAATCTTATTTTTCACGAGAATGTTCTATTTTGCTACTTAGGAAATTTTTAATATTTTCACCTTGTGTAACATGTGACGTTGCACTATTTGTACTAAACAACAATTAAGGTGCATCAACTAATAAGACGGTTTAATCGTGATTCATATTTCTATAAGGTTGTTGAGTACAAGTGGTACTTATCACTAGTCTATGTGACACTAAGATCATTGTCACATTGTTCAATGAAGTTGAAATGTATTTTTATTAATTGTTAAATATGATAGTAGTGACATTGCTATATAGACGGGTGCTCAAACATACCATTGTTCTCTATCTACATTTAAAATGTCATCTCAATTAACAACACTTAAAACTGGTATTTAGCACCGATTGTACTACAAAACATTATTCTTTCCACCCTTTGATAAAGGAACTGTCGAAGGCAAAACATTAAAAAAATAAACGTGTTCCCTCTCTAAGAAATAAAAGTATTGAATATAAGTCTAATTTTCATTTCTATGAAAATTGTGCACATAAATATGAATATTAATTAAATGAAAATTATTTTTTAACAATTTAAACTTTTACCGAGGTGGTTCAAAAACAAAAAAGAATATTTCATCACATAATCCTCCATATTCCTTTAGCAAAATATATAAATAGCCAAGTTTATCGACCATTTCATTTTTTTTATTTATAAAATAGACCGTTTATAAATTATTCTAAACGGAGGTTAGTGTAAAGGTTAACTGATTTTTTCTACATTTTCTCAACTAATGAAATTTCGTTTATTAAACAATCACATGAAAGTATTGTACCAAAGAGAACCAAAGATGAAAACGCGTTTATGCACCCAAACACGCACTAAAATAGTAAGATAATTTATTTTTTGTAGGATGCCTTTCACAAAACCCAATGACTCACAAACTTCTGGGAAAACCCTAATAACAGCCTCAAAAACTCTTTAATACGTTACATGAAAACGTTATTTTTAAAAATAGTTAGCTACTGAACATTAACGTTTTATTAAAATTGTAACTTATCTCTGGAAAACATATATTTAACCTTGCAAGATATGAATATGAATTCGAATTCCTTCCATTAAAAAATCTATTTTTGTTTCTCCCTGGAGAAAGATATATGTAGCTAGGAACACAGTCTTTTCAGGCTAAAACAAATTTATTTTTTTTTCCCAATAAATTTAATCTTTGCGCGTGACAATATTGTTCAGGTTCAAACAGTTGAAATTCTTCGAAAATGAATCTAGTAGGATGTAGTCTCAATTAGGAGGAGTGGAGTTCCTCATCCTGAAAGAAAGGAATCTTTGATAAATCACTTTTGTGAGAATCAAGGTGTGTGCTTGACAACAAGAAAGCTACTTCTCTTACGTCCCCGTTAAATAAAGCGCTCTCTCTCTCTCTCTCTCTCTCCCCCTCACACACACACACATACACACACGCATTCGCACACAATTGATCTCAAGATTGTCTATGTATATAATAAAAAAAATAATACTATTTACAGTCGCTTACTACTATAGTCATTCTACATAATATACATGTAGCGATTATTGATTTATTATATAAGATAATAAAAAATTACCATATTAATGTATCAAATCACTAACCACCACATGTATGTCACATAAGGCGATTGTGACAGTGAACGAATGCAAATAACATTACTCATTATCAAAATACGTGACATATAAGTATTTGAGACAACATCAGAGACATTCAATCACCCTTCTTATAATATCGGACACACTCCAATCTCCATTACTTTTTTGAGTCATACATAATCTAAGATGAGATAAATTACTTAAAATCACTTGCAAAGAAGAGATGAAACTTTCTATGACTAGTTGAAATTTAATTTGTTCAAAGTAAACCACAAGAATATAAATTGGCATGTTACATAGAGCTCGTTCGATATATTTTAATTCTAGTAACATAATTTACTTATTTTTGTTTTGAAATATTACAATTGATTAATATATCACATCTACATAATATTCTATTAAATAATATTGTCATTATTTAATTTTAGATGGATAATGTTTAATGAACTAATGTATATTATCCTTTAGCTAAATTTTAACTGAATTATAAAAAGTCATCTTATTTAAGTTTATAAATTTATAAATATGATTTTTTATTCATAATTTGTATTTGTTAATATTTAAGTCATAAAAAATATATAATTAATTAAAAAAATTAAGTGTACTCTGCACTATTATTTAGGCCTTGAAATTAGAGTATTTGTCGGTTATTTTAATGAATAATAACTTAATTCAATTTGAATTGTGTTTGTTAGGAATAATCGATGAAAAGGTGGAATTGGAGAAAAATGATGAAAAGAGGATTGAATTGCAAGAAAGTCAAAGTTTAGGGACTAAAGTGTAAATAATTAAATATTAGATCAAACCTAAGAACGAACATTGAGAGTGTTAGAACTCAACTGGACAAGATTCTAAGGCAAGGAAATTAAAAGAAATGAAGAAAGACTGAAATGAAAATTTGAAAAAGTTCAGGGACCAAACTGCAAAGTCGATCCTTAACAAGAGAACCATG